AACTATGTACATTAATGCACTTCTGGGGTACAGTGTGGGGTTTTCACATGCAATCCGAAATACTTCCATCAAACTGGTCAACACAGCCTTCAGGTCTTTTTCTCAGTTATTGTTTTAAAACGTTCACATTCTACTCTTAGATTCACTTGTACCCCTATAAGATAAACCTCAGAAGTGATCCCTCCATTTTTACTCCTCTTTAACTCAGTAATATAATAAGACTTTACGCATAATAAATGTATAGCCATTTATTTGATTGTGGAAACAGGTACTTTTAAAATGAGTACACAATAGATTAATTGAATTTCTCGCAGGGTTAGAGTACACGTGTCTTGATTTGAATCTTAGTTTTCCTGCTCCTTAATTACATTACTTGTAAGGCCACTGGAGCTCCTGGTCTCCTTTTCAGAGGAAATTATTATTTCTCTACAAGGCATTTATAATTACCGAGTTAAAAAATGTATGTCTAGTTGTTTAATGTATTTGTTAAATTTTGAATATTAATAGTATATTTAAGCAAATCTGTAACTTGCCTAAATGAATAATTTTGCCTTAATCAATGAGTTCAAAGCTTTCCCTTAAGTTAGAAGTTTTTCTGAGGTTTTTGTCAATTCTGAGTCTGAGTTTATGTGCTTTTCATTTTTTTAAAGGAAAAATTGAAGCTGCAGAAATTGTCCAGTCTCTCCAGATACTAGGTCTGACTATTTCTGAAAAACAAGCGGAGTTGATTCTTCAAAGGTAAGCTCTTCATCTGATTGACAGTTGTTTTCGACTTTGATTTTCATATCGTGCGTTCGAGATCTGCACTGGCAAGTGTGGCTTTAAAACACCTTCGGGCATGTCACCATTCTTCATGCACATTGTCCCCCTTTCTCCCTTTTCATTTTGTGCATGCATACGTGTGTGTGTGTGTGTATGCTGTGTGTATATATTTGTGTGTGTGTGTGTGTGTATATATTTCCCATTCCTATGCTATATAAATATAGCAAAGCATATTTGAAGCAAAGCATTTACAGATGATCCTCATTACTTAAAGATTCCATATTTGTGAATTTGTCTACTCACTAAAATTTAATCTATTTAACTCTAATTCAACCCTAACCCTAACCCTATTAGGAAACCCTAACTGTTAGGGTTAGGGTGATGTTGTATACATATAGCACAGGAATGGGAAATGTATTCTCAGATTGGACTTTATCTTACAAATACAGTGGAATGGCAGTAATATTTTAAATCTCTAGATAAGAGATTTCACCTTGTTTTATTTTTTCTTGTTTGAGTTCTAAAGTGATAGTAGAACTTGTTTCAAAATAAGGAGTCTAGCAGATACATCAAGTTACTTAACCTGTGTGTGACTGCATAAGAGAGAAATTCCCAAGCTGTCCTGATGTACAAAGAAATACCTATTTAAACTTCCAGAAAACAGAAATGCCAGTTTGAACCTTCGTGTCCAGGGCAATCATTTCAGTTACTTAGCCAGTCATACCTTGACAAACTTAATGCTTTATTGTGTAGAATAGAGCAGTAACCTGTGCAATACGGGTGCTCTGAAATATTTGTCTGCTATAAACCCAATGGAAGGAACAATTTATTATGGTAATAAAAAACAGGAAAGGATGATTATGTTATATTAATATTCTTTTTTAATTACTATTTGCATTAAATCATAACTTTGTACATTGACGCATTTATGGGGTTCAGGGTACTGCTTTGAAATACAATGTGAAATGCTTACATTGAACTAAGTAACACATCCATCACAATTATACTCATTTTTTAATAGTTTTGAAATGTACCGTTGCATCATGCACATTAGGTGAGGTCCCCCCAAATACCCTCCCTCCTCCCATATCCCTGTAATCCCATAATCCCAAGGATTTCTCCCTGGTTCCTTCCTCCTCCTCTTCCCTTCTACTTTCTGGACTATAGTTACGTTTTGCCATTCATATGAATGTGTAGGTGATTATATATTGATTTCATAGTAGTGTTGAGTACATTGGATACTTTTTCCCCCCCATTCTTGAGATACTTTACTAAGAAGAATATGTTCTAGCTCCATCCAGGTAAACATAAAAGATGTGAAGTCTCCATCTTTTTTAATGTCTGCATAGTATTCCATGGTGTACATATACAATAATTGTTCATTCATTCATGGGTTGATGGGCACTTGGGCTGTTCCTATGTCTTGGCAATTATGAATTGGGCTGCAGTAAACATTCTGGTGCAAATGTCTTTGTTATAAAATAATTTTGGAGCATCTGGGTATATACCTAGTAGAGAAATTTCATGATCAAACGGTAGGTCTACTTTTAGTTCCTTGAGTTATATTAATATTCTTGTGAATGTCTTTAGTCTTTACATTATCTAACAAATTTCTTCTAAATGGCTTTATTGTTGAATTTACCTTCTTATATATCTGCCACATTAGCATTTCTCTTTTCTGTCTGTTCAGAATTTTTTTATAAATAGCTACTCAGTAGGGAGGCTCAAAGTTTAAAGGCTAAGCACAGACAGTTAATTTTGTTGGTGCTGGGTGAGAAGGGCTTTCCTGAGGAAATGAAAATCTAAAACATGAAAAGGAGACAAACAGAGTTTTGACAGTGAGAGAGGCAACATATAACATTCTGCTTCTAAAATCACATTCTTCCAGAAAACTAGTTATTCCCCCTGGTTCTTTAACCAGAAATCACGTTCCCGTATTTTTCCTTTGATAACATTAGTAATAACACAAATTCCAAGCCCAAGCTTCAGAATAGACCAAGATGTATTAGTCAGCTGGGCTGCCATAACAAAAATACCCAAGAGTGGAATTGCTGGGTCATATGGTAGTTCTATTTTTAATTTTTTTAAGGACCTCCTTACTGTTTTCCATATGTCTAAAGTGGTTTACTTTCCCACCCACCGTGTGAAAGGGTTCCTTTTTCTCCACATCCTCACCAACACTTGTTATTGTTTGTCTTTTTCATAATGGCCATTCTAACAGGTGTGAGATGATATAACATTGTGATTCTTACTTGCAATTTCCTTATGATAAGTGATGTTGAGCATTTTTTCATAAACCTATTGTCCATTTGTATGTCTTCTTTGGAAAAATGTCTATTCAAGCCCTTTGCCCATTTTTTAAATCAGGTTATTTGTTTTCTTGCTATTGAGTTATTTTGTGTTCCTTATATGTATATTTAGGACATTAACCCCTTATCAAATGCGTACCTTGCAGATCTTTTCCCCCATTCTGCAGGTTGTGTCTTTACTCTGTTGAGTCTTTCCTTTGCTGTGCAGAAGGTTTTTAGTTTGATGTGATCCCATTTGTTTATTTTGATTTAGTTGCCTATGCTTACGGTGTCATATCCAGAAAATCATTGTCAAGTCCAATGTCATGGAGATTTTCTATGTTTTTCTTCTAGTAGTTTCATAGTTTGGAGTCTTCCATTTAAGTCTTCAATCCAATTTCAGGTTTTTTTTTTTTTGAGACAGAGTCTCACTTTGTCACCCTCAGTAGAGTGCCGAGGCCTCATAGCTCATGGCAACCTCAGATCTTGGGCTCAAGTGATTCTCTTGCCTCAGCCTCCCAAGTAGCTGGGGCTATAGGTGTCCACCACAATGCCTGGCTATTTTTAGAGACCTAGTCTTGCTCTGGTTCAGGCTGGTGTTGAACTTGTGAGCTTAGGTGATCTGTCCACCTCGGCCTCCCACCACACCTGGCCTTATTTGATTTTTTTATATGGTATGAGATAAATGTATTATTTTACTCTTCTGCAGGTGAATATTCAGTTTTCCCAATACTGTCTATTGAAGAGACTGTCCTTTTCCCATTGTATCTTCTTGGCCCCTTTGTCAAAAAGCAGTTGGCTTTAAATGTGTGGATTTATTTCTGGGATGTCTGTTCTTTTCCATTGGTCTATATATGTTTTTATACCCTGTTGTTAGGTTAGTATATTTTGTTGATAGTTTGAAGTCAGATAATGTGGTATCTCCAGCTTTGTTTTTGCTCAAAATTGCTTTATCTGTTTGGGTTTTTTTAATGGTTCTATATGGATTTTAGTATTGTTTTTCTATTTCTGTGAAGAATGTCATTGATATTTTGGTAGAGCATTAAATTGTATATATCTCTGGGCACTATTGACATTAAAAATATTAATTCTTCCAATCAATGAACATGGAAAGGCAGGGTGTGGTGGCTCACATCTGTAATCTTAGCACTCTGAGAGGCCAAGGCAGGTGGATTGCCTGAACTCACAGGTTCCAGACCACCCTGAGCAAGAGCGAGACCCCATCTCTAAAAATAGCCAGGTGTTGTGGCAGGTGTCTGTGGTCCCAGCTATTTGGGAGCCTGAGGCAAGAGAATCACTTGAGCCATAGAGTTTGAGATTGCTGTGAGCTGTGATGCTACAGCACTCTACCGAGGGTGACGAAGTGAGACTCTGTCTCAAAAAAAAAAAAAAAGTTTCATATATTTGTGTCTTCACATATTTTCATTTATTTGTGTCGTCTTCAATTTCTTTATCAGTGTTTTGTAGTTTTCCTTGTAGAGATCTTTCACATCCTTGATTAAGTTTATTCTTAAGTATTTTATTATTTTTTATAGCTAGTATAAATGAAATAATTGTCTTGATTTCATTTTTAGTTAGTCATCTGTTAGCATATAGAAACATATGCTCATATTTGTATGTTGATTTTGTATCCAGCAACTTTACTGAGTTCATTTATTAGTTCTACCATTTTTTTTGTAGAGTCTTTTTTTTTTTTAGATTTTTTTTAATTAAGTCATAGCTGTGTACATTAATGCAATCACAGGGTACAGTGTGGTGTTTTCATATACATTTTGAAATACTCTCATCAAACTGGTTAACGTAGCCTTCATGTCATTTTCTTAGTTATTGAGTTAAGACATTCATACTCTGCCTTTAGAAAGATTCACTTGTACTCTTATAGGTGTAGAGTCTTTAAGGGTTTTCTGTATATAAGGTTATGTCATCTGCAAACAGGAAGAATTTAACTTCTTCCATTTCAATTTGTATCCCTTTTCTTTCTTTGTCCTGTCTAATTTCTCTGGCTAGGAATTCCAGTACTGTGTTGAATAGAAGTGCCAAGATTGGGTACCCTTGCCTTGTTCTTCATCTTCAAAGAAAAGCTTTCAGGTTTTTTGCCTTGGAAGATATTCACTGTGGATTTGTTGTATGTGGCCTTTATTATGTTGAGGTACATTCTTTCTATACCTAATTTGTTTAGTTTTTTTAAATGAAGGAATGTTGAATTTTCTCAAATGTTTTTTCTCATCTATTACCACAATTATATGGTTTTTGTCTTTCATCATGTTAATGTGATGTCACATTTATTGATTTATGTATATTGAAACTTCCTTGCATCATTAGGGGGAATCCCACTTTATTGTGATGACTCAGTTTTTTAATGTGCTTTTGAATTTGGTCTGCTAGTATTTTGTTAAAGATTTATGCTTGTGAGGGATAATAGCCTATAGTTTTCTTTCCTTTGTTGTATGCTCCTGTGTCAGGAGTCTCCAAGACCCTTGAGCCGTTCAGTAGGCCTGTCCAATTCACTCAGCAGAACTAGCAAATTTGGCTAAGTGAAAGTAAAGTAAAGTGGGTGTGAGAACAAGGCAGCTGGGACTCCAATGCAGCAGAAAAAGAATATATTTATTTAAAGTAGGGCATAGAGGTTGGGCTCAGTGGTTCACGCCTGGAATCCTAGAACTCTGGGAGGCCAAGGCAGATGGATTGCTTGAGCTCAGGACTTCAAGACCAGCCTCAGCAAGAGTGAGACCCCATCTCTAAAAATACCTCGTCTTTGTAGGAGGCACCTGTAGTTCCAGCTGCTTGGGAGGCTTAGGCAAGAGGATTGCTTGAGCCTGAGAATTTGAGGTTGTTGTGAGCTATGATGTTACAACACTCTGCCGAGGGCAATAAAGTGAGACTCTGTCTAAATAAATAAAAAATAAATATAGCAAAGCCAAGCAAAGTAAAGCATAGGTAAGTAGAGACTTTTCCAGAGGGGTTGGAAAAGGATCCCCTGGCAAGTGAGAGGAGACACCACATGAAGGCAGAACACAAGTATCAGTATCTTATCTTAGTTCCCCCTGTAATTATCTATAAAGTATTTCATTGGTTCCCCCTAGGTCTTTAGGATTCTTGTCTCCGTCTTGTTGGTCACAGATAAACTTAGTTGCCACATGTGCCCATTTTTCCTCCTCTTTTTAGCCATAATTGCTGCCTGCTATTTTCCTGACAGTTGTATGGTGGTGTCTCTTAGTCTTGGGATGTTTGTGACATTTGCTGTGCATCCTGTTCTCTGACTGCGACTATTATTCCACTTTGTGTCACAAGCTGGAAACTGCATGTGTGGAGAACAGGACATACTCTGTGAATTGAGTCACAAGGTTCTTGAGACTCACTGTTTGTTGCAGGGTCCTTTTTAACTTTCTTGTCTAGGAGGCTAGACCTTTCTCCTGCTTCTCTGTAGCCCTTTTCTGTCCCTAAACAGTCTGCCTTTTGGTATTAGGGTAATGCTGGCCTTGTGAAATGAGTTTGAAAGTAATCCCTCCCCTTCACTTTTATGGAAGAGTTTTAGAAGAACTGGCATTAAGTCGTCTTTAAATGTTTGCTGTAGTTTAGCAATAAAGCCATTAGGCTTTCTTTGATGTGAAACTTTTTATTACTGATTTAATCTCCTTACTGTGGGTTTGTTCAGATTACCTATTTCTTTATAATTCAGTCTTGGTAGGTTGTGTGTGTCAAGGAATTTGTACATTTCTTTGGGTTATCCAATTTGTTATTCATAACATCCACCGTGATTCTTTGTATTTCTCATGTACCAGTTGTAATGTCTCCTGTTTCATTTCTGATTTTGAGTCTTCTCTCTTAGTCTAGCTAAAGGTTTGTTGATTCTGTTTAACTTTCAAAATAACTATTATTGTTATTGATCTTTTTGTCTTTCTAGTCTCTGTTTCATTTACTTCTCCTTGGATCTTTATTACAGTAGAACCTATATAGTTGATACCTCCTTAAGTTGACCTGATTTTCATAAACCATGCCACATGTATGTATCTGTGCAGGAGACCCACTTTTTTATGTTGAGCACCTCCATATGTTGACCAGTTAGTTACAGTCCCTTGAGTGGTCAACTTGCTGTATTTTTCTCTTTCTGCTAACTTAGGGCTTACTTTGTTCTTGTTTTTTAAATTCCTTGAGGTGCATTATTAGATTCTTTTTGAGTTGTTTTCTCATGTAGTCTGTTTATTTATTTGTTGCTATTTACTTATTTATTGTAAATAATATAAACTTCCTATAAACTTTCCACTTAGAACTGCTTTTATTATACCCTATGGGTTTTGGTATTTGTATTCATTTCTTTCATCTCAAGAAATCTTTAACTTTTTTTCTTTTAATTTATTCATTGCCCCACTAATTGTTTGGAAGCATGTTATTTCCATGTACCTATGTTTGTGAATTTCCCAAAGTTCCTCCTGCTATTCATTTCTGGTTTTATACCATTGTGGTCAGAAAAGATATTTGATGTAATTTTAGCTTTCTTAAATTTTTTAAGCCTTGTTTTTTGGCCTAATATATATTCTTTCCTGAAGGATGTTCCATGTGTAATGAAGAAAAATTGGTATTCTGTTGCTATTGGAAATAAAACAATAAACACTATAATCTAGAATAATATTATAAACAGAAATAGCACAGGATTCTTGGGCAGATATGGAACATTAAGACCCGTGTGCTGGGGCAAGTCAAAATTTCAGTATAATTTCTCATATGCAAGTCAGAATAAAAAGTGGCACTAGAAAACACAATAATAAATGTCTTAAAATGCATTGGAAGCGCTCTGAACTTTCCCTTTGTTCTTCCTAAATAAAACCTCTGTTTTTTACACTGAAAAAAAAAAAAAAAGAAAAAGAAATATCTTCCTGAAGCAGTCTAAGAAAAAATGAGCCATAATTTTATTCTACCTCTCAGTATTTTTCTTCTAGTATTTTAATTACATTCAGTATTATTTTGATGACTCCCTGTCAGTATTTTTCTTCCAGTTGTTTTTGGTTTTCGTGTTTTATAGCTCATTGACTTTGAGTTTGACAGAGTGCTTGAAGTAGTTGTCAGTGAGCTCTCTATAATTTTTGGATCCATTTTAATCTAAATAATTAAAACTATCTGACAGGACTGTAAGATGCTTGCTACCATTTCCAACAACCTATAATTGTGCATGAGATTCTTTAATAAGAACATTAAGTTGGAAAAGAAACTATCATTCTGTAAAATGGCCAATGATGTTGTATTCATCAATTTTGTCTTGTTCTTTATATCATTTTTTGAAATTTTCAGCATTGATGCTGATGGGACAATGACAGTGGACTGGAACGAATGGAGAGACTACTTCTTATTCAATCCTGTTACAGACATTGAGGAAATTATCCGTTTCTGGAAACATTCCACCGTAAGTGTGCATTACATGTTTATACTCCCTTGGAGCTGTAAGCTGTAGGTATAGTTATCATCCAAGAACACTCTGTAACACTCACAGGCCAGCATGCTTCAGTGCCAGCAGCTCCTTCACATATTGTAGCGTTCTCTTTATTGTATTAGGCATAGATTTATAGAGCATCTTAAAAAACCCAACACTGCATAGACAGCCATTCTCAAAAGTTGAAAGAAATACAACCTTGGTGAACAAGTTACCTAGCTTTTTTTGTCATGTAAGTATTCTGCTGTAGGGAGATGTAAAAATCATAGGCTTTTGCATTTTATAGATACTGTTATATATTTTGTCTAAATAATCTCAACACCTCATGGTTTTTAAGGGATCTATTTCCTTAGCCCTTGATGACATGGCCAGAAGTCCCTTCTGAAACTTTGCTTGTTTGGTCAACCTGCTTAGGTTTATCTCTCACGTAAGGCACCTGCAATGATCATTAAAGGTTATAAAATGTTTTAGGCTGAGCTGCTCAGCTTTTTGCATCAGTCTGCATTCCACAAAACTTTCAGATTTTGATTGCATTTCATTAATATGCTGCTGAGTTCTGTTATTATGCAATATGCTTTTGAAACCATTGGGAACTCTCTGAAAGATTTTTATTTATTTTTTTGTTTTTTTGCCTATTGGGCTTGCCGTGTATACTTACTTATGGATTTCATTAAATTTAATATGCAGTAAATGAAGCCTGGAGTTCACATTGCAACTAGGAACAATGCCTAAGCTTATGTAAACCATTATAAAATAATTGGTGATTAATATTTTTGCAAATTTAAGTATAAAAATATGCTATAGTAGTTTAGTTTTCTAGATAAATGTTATACTTTTGTGAGGTTTTATTTACTTGATTCTTTTTATGTCTCTGAAGATAGTTGATAACAGTTAGGCTGTTTGTTATATTGCTGGTAAAGTGGAGGAAGAGAGGGTTACTACCATAACATAGCTCCTTCCCCTTATAATCTTGCTGTAAAATCTTTTAGACAATAAAGTTGTAAGAATATTATCATTATAGATTATATTTCTTTCAAGCTATATTTGTAAATCTATAGTAATGCTTCCCTCAGGCTATATTTGTAGTCTGTAGAAATGTGTAGAATGTATTGGAGGGGTAATCACTTCAAACAATACCTTCCTGTTAAATAAATTTTATATAAAATCAATTGCACGGTTAAATGACAAGTCAGATTTCTAAAAATAGTTCTAGGTAGTCACTATAGAAAATGAGTTTGGGGCTCGGCATCTGTGGCTCAAGTGGCTAAGGCACCAGCCACATACACCTGAGCTGGTGGATTCAAATCCAGCCCGGGCTGCCTGAACAACAGTGATGGCTGCAACCAAAAAATAGCAGGGCATTGTGGCAGGCGCCTGTAGTAGTCCCAGCTCCTTGGGAGGCAGAAGCAGGAGAATCGCTTGAGCCCAGGAATTGGAGGTTGCTGTGAGCTGTGATGCCACAGCTCTCTACCCAGGGTAACAGCTTGAGGCTCTGTCTCAAAAAAAAAAAAAAAAAAAGAAAATGAGTTTGGTGGGGTATCTGCAAATATAGGTTTAATTTAATATCTATTTATTTAAATCATATAACAAAGTATAACATAGAATAATTTTGACATAAGGGGAATATCATTGAAAAATTGACAGATTAATTTCTTGAAACGTGTCATCAGCAATTAGATGTGGTTTTCTAGCTTCATGAAAAGTGACTTTCTAAAAAGGATTCACTACACTTGATAAAATGCTGCCCTTTCTGCTTAGATCAAGAGGAGAAAAATTCATCTGCAACTATCAAGAAAGAAAGGTGTAATTGTTGCCACTGTAAATTTGTAATTACCGTCGATTTTCATTTCCTGCAAACTGATAACAATCATATGAATAGACTATAATCTATGTGCTCAAATTAGTTCAGCATAAATCCTAAGGAGTAGAGTTAAACTTAATGGTAAGACATGATTCTTCTCTAAAACAAACAGCAAAACTGTCTGTGATTACCTGTTTTTAATTGAAGGAGCATGGGGACCTTTCTTTCATTTTAACAGGGAATCGACATAGGGGATAGTTTAACTATCCCCGATGAGTTCACAGAAGATGAAAAAAAATCTGGTCAGTGGTGGAGGCAGCTTTTGGCAGGAGGCGTGGCAGGTGCCGTCTCTCGAACAAGCACCGCCCCTTTGGATCGCCTGAAAATCATGATGCAGGTGAGCTTTATGGTCTGTGTCTAAGTTTGTCTTAAATATTCTGAAAGAATGAGAAATGTGTTGCTTTGAAAAAGAAGTTTTGAGACTTTGCAGTAACAGTCTTTGGTACTTTTACAAAAATTCTCCATATCATTGCTGGTACCCCTGAATTCAGCTCACGTAAGTATGGCATTGTGGTGCTCAGCTTTCCTTTATTGGCGCAAGTATGTCTGAACTTCTAATCTTTGGCACTCTATGACTATTCAAATGTTTAATTAAAAAAAATTTGGCCATTATTATGGGATTCTCCTTAAGTTATTTGTGCTTTTCATTTTTTCCCTAAAATCTAGAATCTGAGAATAAGAATGTCATTTTAAAAATTATTCCAAAGCTAAGGTTAGCAGAAAAAGATCTGGATTTGTAGACTGACTTTGCTATTTACTAGCAGGGAAGACTAGGGTAGGGCAAAGTAGAAAGAAAGAGAGAAAAGAAAAGAATTAAGATTTATTTGGTGCTCATTGTGATGACCCATTTAATCCTCACAGTAGCCCAGTGAAGTAGATTTTTTTATCCTCATTTTATCCATGGGGAACCTGAGGCTCTGTGCGTTAATTGCCTTTTCCTGGACGACAGATTAGATGAGGAACAGAATTATCTTTGTCTCTGAAGCTTATGATTCTCAACCTGCCTGAGACATCTTCTCATTTTCCTGCATTAGGGAATGGGAATAAGAATATCTAACAAGGGTTAGATACAAAAGTTGTAAGAATTAAACAATACAAGGTATATGAGAATGCTTGATACACTGGATTAGCCTATTTATAACATAGTAGTTGTTTAAAATATTTTTAGAAGTTTGTTTGTTATACCTATGGTCAACACTTTTTACATTTATCCTTCAATTTCTGTAGAAAGTATTTTGGACAGTATTTTAAGCTAACATCTATTCAGAAGGTACCTGAACCTCAAAACTTATTTAGGGACAGAGATAGCACTTTAAAGAACAAGGGAAGGGAATTGGTGTGTGTACATGTGCGTGTGTGTGTGTTTCTTTAGGAATAATAGTAATTGATTTTGAGAGAGCTTGAGTAAGCATTCATCTTTTACTTCATCATATTTTATTGCAAGGTTTATTTACTTAAAATGAAGTAGATTTCTTTGGGATTCGGTGTCTACAAATTCAGGGGTTCCAAAGTCACCTTCAGGTTCACTCGAAGGACACACGGTCACTGAAAGCTGTTATACTCACAGAAATAGTTTATCACTGGGAAGAGTTACAGCTTAACATCAGTCAACTAAAAATATGCACAGGGCTGAGTTTGGGAGGCATCAAAAGCTGAGCTTCTGTGGTCCTCTCTCTCTCTCTAGAGTCTTTGTGTGTTACTTTCCTGGCACTCCTATGTGACAAGATGTGCAGAATACTGCAAACCAAACAGGGCAGCTCGCCCCAGCCTTTGGTGACCGAGTTCTCATTAGAGCTCAATCCCCTTGTGACCCCATGTCTGACCTTCAATCTTCAGCCCTGTTCAACCCCTTGCACTTGTGTATGTGGGCTTTTTGTTTTCTTTTGTTTTATTTTTTGGTGGTAGTCACACATTTTATATAAGCTGAAACAATCAGAAAATAGCTTATTTTTAAGATTATTCTTGGTTTATTAGATCTAATTAGTTTTTTTTTTTTTGGCTGGGGGTGGGTTTGAACCCACCACCTCCGGCATATGGGGCCAGCCCCCTACCCTTTTGAGCCACAGGCATCGCCCCCAGATCTAATTAGTTTTTATATGTAGGCAATCATAGGGTCTAGCATATTTAAATGACTGCCACATCTGTCATTAAGAATTATTGCCATTCTGGGGCGGTGCCTGTGGTTCAGAGGGGTAGGGCGCCGGCCCCATATGCTGGAGGTGGCGGGTTCAAACCCAGCCCCAGCCAAAAACTGCAAAAAAAAAAAAAAAAAAAAAGAATTATAGCCATTTTGTCAGTATAAGCCAAGTAATTGACTAGTACTCACTGGATTAGACAGTGGGTACCTTGTCATGAATTTATAGCCCAGAGGAGACTCATAGTATGCCACAGAAGGTACAATTTTTATTTTTTGTTTCAGGCTGTGTGCATTCCAGTATCTGTGGCTGTAAGATAAATGTAACATCCAAATCATTTTCAGACTGACTTATATTTCATCTCTGTACTACTTGTTGAAGAGAGGGAGTGATGTATTACTCGCAGTATACTTCATGTTTATTTCTCTTTAACTGGACTTATTCATGTTTCAAAGGGTGTTCCATAGCCTCGTACAAAATTTGGTTCGTGTTATCTTACTGATGTCATTCGTAATAATTTTTAATTTCTTATGTCCTCTCTTATCTGCTTTCTTACCCTTAGGGCATCAGTTGTTCTTAGTTTTACATTTAGAGACAAGTCCCCCGAAATGGTGGTCATACTTCTTCCCAGCGTTATATATTTCCCCAACCTTCTCTATTTTATTTTTAAATATATCTTCTTGCAGTTATAAACAGTACTAAAAAGAGATTGGGTGGTTACTTGAGAAATAGTGACAATAATAGGCTACCCGTATTTTATATCATTTTGCTTCTATTTGTAGGTTCATGGTTCAAAGTCAGACAAGATGAACATATTTGGTGGCTTTCGGCAGATGGTAAAAGAAGGAGGCGTCCGTTCCCTTTGGAGAGGAAATGGTACAAATGTCATTAAAATTGCTCCCGAGACAGCTGTTAAGTTCTGGGCCTACGAACAGGTAATTGTTACCACCTGTGGAAATTATTAACAAAGAGCGTTAGAAAACTGATTCAGTAAAGATTAGCATATGCTGCTTTGGGGAGTCTTATCTTAATACCTGGAAATTTATATATATATGGGCCGTGAGGAGTTTTTCTTATGGGAGATCAGACTAGATAAACTCAGAGATTCCTCACGTTTAAATTCTGGGGTTCTGAATTGTATAATATAATTTATAAAGAAAGATTTTGTGTTCTTTTCTAAGGATCTCTTAAATGCAAGGTAGAATTGTTGCTTATTCCTTCTGAATTACAAATAGAAGCAGCATGCTAACCTAAGTTTTATGAAGGTGCCCCAGTCTGAAAGTAAAGTTCTAAGTTGAAGACATTGGTGTGATTTGACATGGTAATGAAATTGAGTTGAATTTAGAGTGAAAGCTCCATGAAGGGGGGAGCCTCTGCTTCTCTGCAACCAGGCTTCCCTCTGAGCCCTCTTTACAGAATTCCGATTTCTGCATGCTCACTTTCCCTGGACGTCACAAGGAAGGCTCTACACAGTGTGGTGCCTTCTCACAGCCTCCAGGGCCCGTTATGTCTCTCTGCTCTTTCTGCTGAAGGTCCGTTCATCCCCCACGGCTCTCTTTAGGCCACCTGCCTGTGGCAGCCTCCCCTGCCTGGCCTCCTTAGCCTGCTGAATTGCAGAATATCCAGCTTTCCATTGGATAATTTCTTCAGGGTAAATATTCCACGTACTGATATTTTCTCCGATTTCCCAGACTACTTAGCTGGCCCACTTCTAGTTTCAGGTAGATTCTGTTCCTTGAATAACTAGTGGTTTAGAGAACTAAGAAAAGGATATTTTCAGCCTGATATGTAGCTCTGCCAGACACATCATCAGTTTGGGATAAAGCCGTGGTCTATTTGGGTTGTCATTACCATAGTTGTGTCATTGTATATTGATAAGGTGGCAATGTCATGTAGCATCCCCATAGATTCAGCTGCCATCTGTGCACTAAGTGCCCTCCATCCTAACATCTTCCCCTTCATCTCTAGACCTACCATCCACCTAGGTACTGTGTCTCTCTGCATCTCTGCTTGTATCTCCGGGAGGGCCTCAGACTCAGCATGTCTGCAGTATGGCCGACATCTTTCCACCTCTTTCCACTCTAGCTACACACACCCCTTCCTCTTTCTCTGTCATGTAGTGGGGACTGTCTTTCAACACTTTACTCAGGAGTTAGTTCCTCCAGGAAACCTCTGCCCTGTTATAGTTGCCTTCGGGTCCTTCTGTTGCAGCACTTTCCCTGTGAATTCTGCTGATCTCGATCTTTTGGCCCCTCCTTTGTGAGATGGTGAGCTCACTAAGCAGGAGCTGATTGTTTGTCAGGTTTGGACTCACAGCACCTTTCCAGTGCCAAGAAATCCTTACTGGAGAGTGAAAGGGCAGAAACACCAGAACTGGGATTTGAGCTCAAGCCCGCCTCAATCTCAAGCCCATTCAGATGAAGGGAGGGGGGCTTACAAGCAGAAGCTGCAGCACGTGGACAAGCACATGGGCACGAAAGGGCAGCACTCGCTGGGGAAACTAAGCCTCAAGTGGAGTGTGTGTCTGGGAAAATAATGATGAAAGCTGGACAGTAGGCAAGGAGCCAAATGTAACGGGGGCCTGTGTTTTCTGCTAAACACGGTGGGGGACTACTGAAGTATCTAACGTAGCAACGTGCAATGAGTACATTTACATTTAAGGAAGAGCAACGTGGAAAAATAATAGAGAAAGGACTGGAGGAGGGGAAGGCTGGGCTGGAGGCAGCGAGACTATTTAAGAAAATATTTCAGTAATTCAGGTGAGAAATGATGAGCACCAGTACAAGGTGATGGCTGTAGGGATTGGAGAGGAAGGCAATGGATGGAAAAATATTTTAGGAATAGAATTAACAGAACTCACTGACCGATTAGATGTGGATGAGGGGAGAAAGGAATCAGGGTGTTATGTTGGCTCCCAACTTGAGTAATTATATGTGTAGAGAAACACATATGCAGCCAGCTTGCACCTTAGATGCGCTGAGTTTGAAGTACCCCTGGGACACACATGGGGAGCTATCCAGTATGCAAGTGGATATAGCATGGAGAAATTAAGAGAGATCTTTGATGGAGAGGTTGTTGCGGAGGCGAAGCTGTTGGAATGTGCAAGATCACTCAAGAAAAGCTTACAGAATGAGAAGCATTCTGGGAATAAACCTAAAGGGAGCAGTAGAAGGAAAAGCTGCAAAGTGGCCTGGGAAGGACTAGCTGCGGGGACGGGAGAATATCCAGAGGAAAGGCGGCCTGGAAGTCAGTGGGAGAGAAGGGTTTCACGGAGGGTCAAATGCTACGAGGTGATGACCACAAAAAGGAAAGCAATTGTAGGGCTTATCAATCCAGAGACAGATAAGCTTAGTATGTGTGTTCCAGTGACGTGTAAGGGGAAGAGAAATCATGCTGAAATGAGGAAGGTTTTAATCTCTTTGGGGAGTGATTGGGAGGTAAAGAAGCCTGGGTTATGTGGATGCCCTTTTCATGGAGTCTGACTGTAAAGGGAAGGAAAAAGGGGGAAGGGTAATAGATAAGGGTAGCGGGAGGGTTTGATTTGATTTACTTTAATGTGCCTGTTGCTGAAGGAAGCCTATCAGGACAAAGAGGGAAGTTGCGAATATGCCTGGGAGGGGCTGATTAATGTGGCAGAGGAAGCTGTGTGGGGGGTGGGAAGGGGCTGTGGGGAGAACAGGCACTCTCCAGAGACCATTGGACCTTTGACTGCAAGGAGGCCTCTTCTGGAGCCAGCTTGGCAAGAAAGAAAGAAAGAAAGAAATATACGTGGTTGTGGATAATTCTGTGGGCAGGAAAACCAGGACATTCTTACCTGGTGGCCTTACTGTCCTTTCTTGAGTTCCTAAGACAGGAGGTTCCCGAGAATGAGGGAGGGAGTGGTATTGGAAGCTGGAGGAGCATGAGTAAGATTGAAGTAGGTGTTCAGACAAATGGAAGCCAGAACTGAGACAGACGGAAGGATTTCAGGGTGGTGTGAACCCAGTGAAGTCTCCTTTAGGCAAACCAAATTCTGGGGCCTTGGCAAGTTGAAGTCTCCACAATTGTCACCTCATCTCTAAGATGGCAGTTAAACAGGGTGACATAGTGCTAAGTACCTGGTACAGTGCCTGACCCTTTAAGGCTCTCTGTCCTCAAATCTTTCCTTTGTATATGGTGTGTTTGGGGGAACAGGGAGAACATAAGTCAAATACTTACCCTTTAAATATTTATTGTTCATCAGTCACTAAATATTTACTATTTATGTTTAATAAGTTCTTCAGGGATATAAGATATAAAAGGTGTCTTCAAAGTTCCTGTTAATATATGGGAAGGTTTTAAGCAAATTATATTCAATGATTGTGACAAACTCATACATAGGAGAATGAGTTGGGTGTAGGCAGAAGAGTTTTATGTAACATTTTTGTAGTTTAGCAAACAGAACCCTTGGAAGCACTAATCTCTTTTGGGAGGAATATCTGCTATTTGAGAACTCATAAAATAATAAAATACTTAATTTTTATCATGAGCAGAGAAACACTATTTTGCTAGGAGAATGTCAGCCCGTATTGTTGTGATGGGCTCTTTAGATCCCAAGGAACAGAAATGGCTAGTGAGGAATGGGCGTCTCTGGAGGGACACCGGTGGCAGGAGGGAAGGACCCTCAGAGAGAAGTCCAGGAAGGGGGACTCTTCCCTTCTCCATGGATGTGTCTGCTCCTTTCTGCTAATTATCCACTTTTCCCTGTGGTGTCAGCCGCTGATGACCTCTGTAGACCCCGCCTGCCTTCTGAAAGAAGGAATCTGGTCGGCCTGGCTCATTCCTGTAGTCTGTGTTTGAATAGAGCTTTTCTCTCCATGTTGCCCAAAGATGATACGTTAGCAATAGTAGTAATAATAATAATGTCTCCTGAACATCTGCCAGTGCCCAGCACTGTGCTGTGTTACAAGTTCTGTTTTATTTCATCTACTCAATAATGCTATGAGTATTATAGATGAGGAAACTGCACCTTGGACATGTTTATGAACCTGCTCAGGGACACACCACTCTGCGATTTTAGCTCAGGTCTGTCTGACTCTGGAGCTCATGATGTTAACATCCTGCCTGATCACTATTTTAGCTGCATGTGGGTCATCTTTCTACCCTTGATCCAATCAGCTGTGTCGAGATGCTTTAACAGTTGGCCAGGGAGATGTTGGGCTTGACATGGTAGTATAATTATATGTATTAACTATAGAAACTGTTTTTCTAAGTTGTTTTGTTCATGTGTATGACTTAATTGCTGATTTTACTTGTACTGGTGAAAAAAAAATCATCTTTTAAAAACATGGGAAAAATATCCAAAAAAACTGTGAAAAACTTTCTTAACCCTGTATTTTCTGTGCATCTTGGAAAGAATACTACTACATTCTTTTCGCATAGGAACAACTTAGTCCAGTCTGTGCTACATCTGTGTCCTGTAGGCATCTAACTTGAAAACCATTGTAAACCTGGTCCAGTAAATTGAATGTGTTAGCATTTAAGCCTTGCTTTTCTACCAGGTATTGTTAATATAGTGTGTTTTGAGCACCCATCAGCACATTGTTAATTGTTGATTTCTGGGAGCTGATTTGTGTGTTACTATTGCCTTAGTTAGCCCAGGCTACCATAAAATACCATAGACTATGTAACTGAAACAGCAGGAATTTATTTCTCACAGTTTTGGAGGCTGGGAAGTCCAAGGTCAAGGGAGCAGCTAGTTTGGTTTCTAGGGAGGACTCCCTTCCTGGCTTGTAGACAGCCACCTGCTTGCTGGGTGCTCACATGGCATTTCCTCGATGCACGTAAGAGAGGAGAGAGAGAAAGGGAGCGAGCTCTCTGGCATCTGGTCTTATAAGAACACTATCTTATCATTAGGGCTCCTCCCCTATGACCTCATCTAACTCTAATTACCTCCTGAAGCCCCATCTCCTAGGGGTTAGGGCTTCAACATGTGAATTTTGAGGAGACACAATTGAGCCCATAGAAGGTATTAATGTACATTTTAAAACTTATTCATACAGTACAAGAAGTTGCTTACTGAGGAAGGACAGAAACTTGGAACCCTTGAGAGATTTATTTCTGGTTCTATGGCTGGAGCCACTGCACAGACTTTTATTTATCCCATGGAGGTAAGTGCCATTGTGAAATCTGATTGCTGCATGGTATTTATTCTGGTTATCTATCACCGTGTAACAAAATTAAGAGTTTAAAACAGCAAGCAAGCATTTATCACTGTATAGTTTCTGTGGATCAGGAATTTGAGAGCAGCCTAGCTCAGCACTGCTGGCTCAAGGCCTTCTCATCCCACAGTCAAGGTGTCAGGCAGAGCTGCGGTCATTTCAGGGCTCATCTGGTGGCAGATCTGCTTCCAGGCTCCCTCACGTAGCTGCTGCCAGGCTTCACTGGCTACTGGCTGGGGACATCAGTTCTTTATCACATGGACCTTTTAACAGGCTGCAGTCTGAGTAGCCTTATAACGTAGTCGCTGACTTCCATATGGTCAGTGCTCCAACAGCAGGAGAGATTGAGAACGAGAGACAGAGACACAAGGCCCAAGACGGACGCTGCAGCTTTTGCTGTATTCTGTTGGTCACACAGACTGACCCCCGGTAGAGTGTGGGAGACGACGCAGTGGTGTGAGTACCAGAGACAAGGCCTGTGGGGGGCCCTTTTAGAGGCTGGCTACCACTGTGTTGATAAGGATTATAACTCCCATTCCTCCCTAAAGACTTCCCGTACCCTGAATTAAATGACGGAACCTCAGGATTTGATCAGAGCATGATAACCCTACTAGACCTCTTTCCATTAGAGCATGGGTTGGCAGACCACAGGCCTGTGGACAGTTTTGCGTAATCCTTGAGCTAATAGTCTGTTGTTATATTTTTAAAAGGTAGATAACAATAAAAGAAAAGAAAACCAGAATATGCAATAGAGACCTGATCTTTTAGGCATGTAAATATTTATTATTTGGCCTTTACAGAAAATGTTTACCAACTCCTGCTACAGAGCAAAAATAATATTGTAGATGTGGATATCTTAATGGATATAACAGGGATTTTTAGAAACAGGTAAGATCTAAGAAGGATACACCCTTAACTTTTCACTACTTTGTGGTATGCATAATAATATAGCTTTCTTTGCATACTTAGGGAAATATATACATATGATTATTCATATTACTCCACATACCTTATGAAAAAGTATCGTAACCCAATAGCTGTCTTCCTGTTATATCCTCTGCATCAGTTAATATCATCACCTCCTTGCTGCCCCTCCTGTGTTCCAAGGTAGAAACACGAGAGTTATCTAGTGTCCTAACCTTCCATACCCAATTGATGACAAGTCAGTTTTGTTAGACATCAGTAGATTATCTTGTCTCTATTTTCTCTGTCACTGCCCTGATTCAGATCCTCTTTGCATTAAATGGGTCTCCTGGGGTCTACATTAAATGGGTCTCCCCTCAAAATAGGTGGTATGGACAGGCAGAGTGGCTTATATAATCCCAGCACTTTGGAACACTGAAGTGAGAGAATTCATTGAGCCCAGGACTGCAAGACCAGCTTCGGCAACATAATGAGACTCTGTCTCTGTTAAAAAATTAGCTAAGCATTGGGCACAGTGGCTCATGCCTGTAATCCTACCACTCTGGGAAGTTGAGGCGGTGGATTGCCTGAGCTCACAGGTTCAACACCAGCCTGAGCCAGAGCACAACCTCGTCTCTAAAAATAGCTGGGCATTGTGTCAGGCACTTGTAGTCCCCGCTACTCGGTAGGCTGAGGCAAGAGGTTCACTTGAGCCCAGGAGTTTGAGGTTGCTTGAGCTATGATGCCACGACACTCTACTAAGGACAACAAAGTAAGATTCTGTCTCAAAAAAAAAAAAAAAAATTAGTAAGGCGATTGCTTGAGTCCAGGAATTTGAGGCTGCATTGCAGTGAGCTATGATTGGGCCACTGCACTCCAGCCTGGGCGACAGAGAGAGATCCTGTCTAAAAAAGGAAAAAAAAGAACCCACGAAGGAGAATACGTTAACAAATTGGACAGTCATTTGAGTGATAACGTGTGCTAGATGTTTGTTCTTTGTAAGACAACTTCTTCTCAATTCCACGATGATAGAGTTGATATGAACAGTAGTATTTCATTATATTCTTTTATATCCAGGTTATGAAAACAAGGCTGGCTGTGGGCAAAACGGGACAATACTCTGGAATATATGATTGTGCCAAGAAGATTTTGAAACATGAAGGATTGGGAGCTTTTTACAAAGGTTACATTCCCAATTTATTAGGCATTATACCTTACGCAGGCATAGATCTTGCTGTGTATGAGGTGAGTTTACAGAAATCTTTTGAATCTGAAAATGTAGTGAAATAGCTCTTGTGAGAATTTGATTTCATATAAAGATGTATATATGTGCCAGAAAATGATTTGTAGATTCAAGGGTGTGCCATTTGAACGTTTCATTTCAAGTACCTTGAATATGAATATTTATAGGGTCACTTTTATATTAGATTTCCTTGTGAATTATTTTTATTAATGAAGAGTATACTCAAATTAATTATATTCCATATAGGTATAGTCATTCATCTTAGTGGATGGTACTAGAGATGGTTTTGAGGGGAGAGAAAATAAGCAAAATTATCACATTTTCTTTATTAAAATCTGACATTGATAAAGCCAGGTGACTAATGTGGCTAATACAGTTTCATTCCTTGTACTGACTCAGAATACAAATCTTGGACCAATCCTCCATCTGAATCATTGAACAAGTTTTGAATCTGATAAACATTCATTGAACACACACTGTACAAACCACGGGGGTAGACTCTGGATCTAGGGATACAAAGAAGGGCTCAATGTCGACCTTTAGGAAGCTGAAAGTCTGGTGGGGGAGATAGACAGGCTGACAGCTAAAGCACAGTGGGGCTGGCTGCACGTGCTGGGAGGGAACCCAGCCTACAGCTGAGATGGGTAAGGAAGCTTTCCTAGAGGACTTGACTTTTTTTGAACTGATTTATTGAAAATTAATTATATCCTATGTATTTCACCCTTTTAAAGTGCACCAATCAATGACTTTGGGCATATTACATTATTACTTATTTTTAACTATGGTAAAATATAACATAAAATTTGCCATTTTAACCATTTTTTAAGCATATGGTTTGTTGCCATTAATTTCAATACTGTGTAACCATCTACATATTTCCAAACTTTTTCATCACCCCAGAGAGAAACTCTAACCACAAAGCAGTTACTCCCCACCCTCCCTTTCCCCCAATCCCTGGTGGCCTCTAATCTAATTTCTCCCTGACCCCAGTTCCTGGTGACATGCTTTCTCTTTTCATGAGCCTGACTGCTTTATTGTCTCATGGAAGTGGGATCTTGTGGTATTTGTCTTTTGGCAACGGGCTTATTTCACTTGGCATAATGTTTTCAAGATCCATCCATGTTGTAGCATATGACAGGATTTCTTTGTTTTAAAAGCTGGATACTACTCCATTGTGTATATATCACCTTTTAAAAAAGTCATCTGTTGATAGACAGTTGAGTTATTCTACATCTTTGTAGTGTGAATAGTGCTGCAATAAAGGTGGTTTTGCAAACATCTTGTTTTTAGTTCTATTTGATATATAGACTCAGAATTGGGATTAATGGATTGATGGTAATTCTGTTTTTAGTTTTCTGAGGAACTTCCACACTGTTTTTCTATAGTGACTGTGTCTTTTTTTAATTCTCATCAACAGCGTGCAAAGGTTTCGGTTTCTCCTTGTCCTCAGCAATCGTATTTTCTGGTTTTTTGTTTTTGTTATTTGTTTTGATAGGGGCCGTCCTAACAGATGTAGACAGCATCTCCTTGTGGTTTTGATTCCCATCTCCCTGATGACAGTGACGTTAGGCATCTTACAATCTTACAGGATTAAAAAATGTACAAGTTTTAGCAAGTTGTGTGGCTTCTTTGGCATATTAGCACGTATTTTTATACGTAAGACATTTTATGTCTAAAAAGTTGATTAACATATAAATTTTGTACAATTTCTCCCAATTATTGTCTTCTAATGAAATACAGGGACCTAGTGTATTCAGGGAAAGATGTGACCTGTGAATCAGCATACTTTGTTCTGAGCCCTTCTTAAAGAATTCCATTGAGATGAATTTTCCTCACTTCCAAAATCAGAATAATACATAGAAACGTGAGAGTTTTTAAAGACCAAGTGAAATGATAAATGTGTAAACTAAAAGTGAGATATAGTTAGTAGTACTATACTACTTAGCAACACCCACCCACTGTAAGGGATGTTCTTTAGATCCTTGAGATTTGGTGTGCTGTTGACCTTCCTATTTGTTTAGGAGAAAATGAGCAACCAGTGCAAACCTCATATGTTCTGGAGTCTTGGTGGCTTCCTCACCTCTCCACAGAGCTGTGACCTCCTACAGTGGCTGCTGCTCCAGGGACGGTGCTGCCCCATCTGGCCAAACGTGGCCTGTCTCTCACGAGGATGAGCGTAGCTGTGAAAGGTTTACATTGAGTCAAAACAGTTGTAGGGTTATTCATTACTTTTCTTCTTTTCTCTGTTTCTCTGGCAGCTCTTGAAGTCCTATTGGCTAGAAAATTTTGCAAAGGACACTGTAAACCCTGGCGTCATGGTATTGCTGGGATGTGGTGCCTTATCTAGCACCTGTGGTCAGCTGGCCAGCTACCCCTTGGCCTTGGTGAGGACACGCATGCAGGCTCAAGGTGAGCTTTTGATTAGAGTGACACTAATAAAGGATTGCATCAGTTATGTGCTTTGGAACTCCAAGTTCTACTGAGGCAGGAGAATGTAGTTTTAAGACAATATGTCTCAACCTTTTTTTTTCATTATCTCCCTAAGGAAGATAATTTTCTTTTCCCTAAGGAAGATAATTATCTTTTCCCTAAGGAAGATAAGATTCTTTATAAAAATAAAAATATAATAAAAAAATAAAATAAATGCTTCCTCTTCATGAAATTGTAATGCCACAGATAGGTTTCATAAATAAACAGTAAGTTTTTCTGGACTGTGTTGAATGCATGTTTTAAGAGCATATGTTTTGGTATATAAGTGGATCTGGATTCAGATCTTTGCCCTAAACCTCTTTGGGTTTTTCCATGGGACCGAAAATTATGTTATAAGAATTAGCAGCAGTCTATGGAAAGCATCTGGCATTAGGGTTAAGTCTTTGTGACCAGAATTGTTTATTAATGCTACTCGGATCGTATAACTTCTGAGCTATGATTCTTCCTCACTGCGACACTGTCTCCCCTGTCAGCTTTCATCTTTCTCTGTGCTCCTGGCCCAGCTCATTGGTTACTATCCTCGACTGTTGGCTTTTGTTGCTAAACCCACTCTGCTAAAGTTTGCATTCTCTGCCTTTCTAGTCCTCTTTACGGCTCTGGTCAGTCTCCCCTACTATCATTTCTTTAAATAATAGACCCTGGGCACCTACAGCTGTATTCTCAATCACTCTTCTAAGTGTCAGCCACTCCTCCTCAACCAAGTAGTCAGTCATTAATTTTTTTTTTTTTTTTTTTTTTGAGACAGAGTCTCATTCCAGTGCCCTGGTCAGAGCACCATGGTGTCATCATAGCTCACAGCAACCTCCAACTCTTGGGCTCAAATAATCCTCTTGCCTCAGCCTCCTGTGTAGCTGGGACTACAGGCACCTGCCACAATGCCTGGCTAGTCTTTCTATTTTTGGTAGAGACGGGGTCTTGCTCTTGCTCAGGACGGTAGTCATTAATTAACAAGTACTTCCTGAGCGTTGTCTGCCAGGTGCTAGGGTTAGAGCAGCTGATGGGACAAGTCAGATGTGGTCTCCACTGTTAGAGCAGGGAAGAAACACGTATATCCAGCAAGGAAACAACCCACCTTCCCTCTGTGAGGGCAGCACAGAGCAAGGGGCTACAACCTAACTTGAGAGCTGCAGAACCCTATCAATTAAGCTGAGATTGGAAAGAAACGTGGGGGTTAGCGGGGCACAGGCAGGGGGAGTGGCAAAGGAACATCCAGCTGAGGGGGTGCATATGTGAAGACACTGAGACAGGAGTGAGCAGGACGTGTTTGAGGAGCTGAAAGACAATCATATGGCTGCCTAGAGAAAGCAAAATCGTAAACAGAAGTTTCTCGTGTGTCCTGTCATTCAGCCACCATAACCATCTTGGCGGGGGCTGCACACTAACATTATCCTTATTGTGCACATGAGAAACTGGGGCAAAGAGAGGGTAAATGACTTCCTCTGAGCTTTATAATTGGTAAATAGTGGAGTTAGAATTCAAACTCCCATGGTCTGATTTGAGCCCTCCTGTCTGCCAGTTCCAGCTCAGGCCTCTGCCTGGCTGATAGACTTGCCATTTCTGATGACAGGATCTGATCATTTGACATCTGTTCAGACATCCTCACCACTCTTTAGTGTCTTCAGAGTAAATGCCGAAGTTCTTAGTGCAAATTTCAAAGCCTTTAATAATATGGCCCTACTCTATTTTCCCTGCCCCTGCCTTGCACACCTCCAGGCACCTGTCCTGTCTGTGTAACAGCCACATCCACTACTCAGCTGTGTCCCTGTAGCATGTGGGGATTCCTCCCCTCATCTTGGTTGTACCAGCAGCGCGGACTTCGTCTTCTTCCCTTTTTTGCCTGTTGATGCTATTTCCAAGCCCAGATCCCTTATACCTTTCCTAAGCTTCCCAAAGCTTTCCCTATACTCCCCTACTTCCTGGGATTTAATAGTCTTTATTCAGGACTTGGCTAGTGAGCAGAAGGAGGAAGAGATGGCAGTGTGATATAGCAAAAAGCATAGGGCCTTTGGAGTTACCTGGAACACCAGATCTCAGCTCTGCCACTTGATAGTTCAGTGTCTTGGGACAAATTTCTGTATCTTTCTAAGCTTCTAATTCCTCATTTACAAAATGGATAAAATTTACCTTGCAGGATTGGTATGAAAAGCCATTAACCTAGTGTCTAGCACATAGTAATTACTCAATAGGAAACTATTATTACTGTCATTGTTATAGTCAGGGAACTCATCACAGGTGCTATACAAAGAGAATTATATAAAGGGGTACTTTCTTGGGCTTCTTGGAATTTTTTCATTATATTCTAGAATATCATTCTGAATCATAATTATTTTAACAACGATGAAACACGCTTGAATATTAAATGAGCCTGGTTTCTTTCTTTCTTTTCTAGCTATGGTAGAAGGAACCACACAGCTGAACATGGTTGGCCTCTTTCAGCGAATAATTTCCAAAGAAGGGATACCAGGACTTTACAGAGGCATCACCCCAAACTTCATGAAGGTGCTCCCTGCCGTAGGCATCAGTTATGTGGTTTATGAAAATATGAAGCAAACTTTAGGTGTAAACCAGAAATGACATGTTGAATAATTATTGTAATTTTCAACAATCTCAGGAATGATGTTTTACCCTCCTGGAATTGAAATTGGTCTATGGCAAAAGCTGTATTTTTTTCATAAAAAGGAAGAATATATCAATGATCATTTCAAATATTGGGGCTTAATTTTATGTATACAGAAATGCTAAAAATCAGAGTGTTAATACATTTTTAAAAGGGGACAAAATTATACTTTTCTTTTCAGTCCTGTAGATCTTTGCCCTGAACTCTACATTTGAAAATGTACTTGTAAATTTCTTCTGTGTGGTAGAATTTTAAATCCTTAATTTAGTTAGTTCAAACTGAAACGTCTTGTTTTATATATTCTGAATGTCTTTATAGACTTCTTAAAACTTCAGTGTGGAACCAATAACAGAAAATCATTACTTTTAAAATACAGACCTTATAGCAGCCACGTGAATGTCGGGTTTATACTCTTATTTGTCTTTAAGCTGAAGAGAAATGAACATCAGTGATAGAATTTTTACAGAGGAGTAATGAAATAATATCTATTTCAGTGAGCACTTTTTATTATTAAATCGTAACTGTATACATTTATAGGGTACATTGTGCTGATTTGATATACAGTGTGGAATGCTTACATCAAACTGATTAACACAACCATCATCCCTTACTTGTGGCCAGGCGTTTATACTCTTAATAGTTTTGAAATACACCATTGCATTGTGCACAGTTCATTTTATGTGTTCTGTTATTTGGTTCCTGGAATTATACACTGATTTTCAGTAAGTTATCAACACAAGACAACTGATATGAAAGATTCTGTTTATTCTGTCCTTGCTTTGAAAAGGACCTTCTTACTGATATCAGCTTCTCTTTTCTTTTCCTACTTTTTGAACCAGATTCTGTTTCAATCAGGAAGGCTTCTTGGGACGACTCTTATAATCTGGAATTTCTCTTTTTAATGATGTGAAATGTGTTGATCATGGGTGAATGACTTGCTTATTTCCCCCTACTGTTGAATTTCTTTGAACCTGCCATTCTCAACATGGGCAGCGCCAAGCTGAGAGATGTATACCAACAGCAGTGTGTGTGAATCTTATACACTAGATGCCTATACTTCAGTGAAAGGCCCCGTTTGCAAACATACATTTATAGTCTCTTCTTTGTTTTAGGAACATGGTATGATATAGAAGACTTGGTTTATAATGTTCATAGCATTTTTTTATGTTACTAAAGCCATTTTTATAGCCCAGCATCTTTTCTGATTTGTGTGACTAGGACTTAGAAAAATATTTATTAGTTGAAGTTATTCTTGCCACTTTCTAATTGAGTTCCTAAGCTTGTTTTATTTCTAGTAATTTCTATTATAAATTGCCCATCATAACCGTTTACTTTATGCGAACCTACCTCTTTTATTTCCTGAACCAAAGAGAAAAGTTGGATTTGAGTTTGTGAAACATTTTCAGAAATACAGTTTCATTTATATGAGTCATACTGGATAATTGTCTCAGTATTTTTCTATTTAATAGTATATGTAGTCATCATGGGCCTCCACTTTAATCTGTGGGGTTGTTTGTAGTTTTGAGTAATACGCAAAATGGCAATATTAAGGTACGTAATTCGCTCTTTTTTTACTCATGAAAATCATGGAAATGATGAATAATTTTGCTAACATTGTTAAAAGTTTAAACTGCTGAAAATATGAATATAGTCATTGTTCGTTATGGATTTAAATTGTTCCCTGTTTTTACATTTGTAAGGCATGAATGTGATTTATCTACACATCTTGTATCTTTTGAAGAAATGATCTTCTATCTTTTGACAAAAGCCCAGAATTGAAAATAGTTTTATTTCTATCATTACTGCATGGTTACTTGCAATTTATATTAATAAATATGTTTGTTTTTATTAATAAAATGACTTGTTTCTTAATTTTAATATTTTTAGAGAAAATTCTTAAGTCTCAGTTTCCCAATTTTTAAATGAATTTATATAAATAAAGGAAAAATTATCTGTCACGTCTGGCTTCATATAGTCTTTCCAAATATTTTTGACTTTCCTGAGCAGCCATAGTGATTATGTGTATTGTACATTTGGCAAAAGATGATTTTTTGGTGATATCCAAATTCCACCTTTACCAATTAGGGTGACACCACTGGGGGCTCACAGGGCCAAGGAGAATCCAAAGCCACAGGATGAGCGTGGCGTATTTTGCTGTGGTGTATGAGTTTTTCTTAAAATTGTGGGAAACATAATTTGATCAAGTCCCATTCATCTATTTTTGTTGTTACTGTGATTGGTTGTGGGGTCTTCTTTAGATAGATATTCTTTGCCTAGGCCAATGTCTGTAATAGTTTTTCCACCATTGTCTTCTATAATTCTTACAGTTTCATGCCTTAGGTTTAAGTCTGTTATCCATCATGAATCAATTTCTGTGAGTGGTGAGACGTGTGGATCCTGTTTTAGTCTTCTGCATATGGCTGGACAATTTTCCCATCACCTTTTCTTAAATGGGGAATTCTTCTCACTGAATATGCACAATGTAAAGGTGTTCAGCACATTTCCTAGGTGAAGGGTTCACCTACAAGTTGAATTTCACCTTAGAAATAAAAATAATGTAACCTAAAATCTTGTACCCTCACATTAATCTAAAATTTAAAAAAGAGATTCTTTTCCCCAATGTATGTTTTTGTTTGCCTTGTCAAAGGTCAGATGGCAGTATGAAGATGGTTTTATATCTGGATTCTCTATTCTGATCTGTTGGTCTTTATCTCTGTTCTTGTGCCAAGACCATGGTGTTTTGGTTACTAGAGCCTCGAGGTATAGCTTGGAGTCTAGTAAATTTGATGCCCCTTGATTTATTCTTTTTGCTTAAGGTTGTTTGGCTATCCAGGGTCTTTTCTGGTTCCATGTAAAGCATAAAATTATTTTTCCTAGATCTGTGAAAAATGACATTGTTATTTTAATGGGGATTGAATTGAATCTGTAAATCATTTGGGGCAGTATAAATGTTTCAACAATGTTGATTCTGCCAGTCCGTGAGCATGAGTTTTTTCCATTTATTTATATCCTCTGCAATTTCCTTTCTCATGTTTTGTAGTTCTCCCTGTAGAGGTCTTTTATTTCCTTGGTTAAATATATTCCTGGCATTTTAAAATTATTATTATTTTTTGCTATTGTGAAAGTATTGATTTAGTTCTCAGTTTGACTGATGTTGGCATAGAGGAAGACCACTGATTTGTGTACATTGATTTTATAACCTGAGACTGCTGAATTTATTTATCAACTCCAGGAATCTCTTGGCAAAATCTTTGGGTTTTTCTAGATATAAGATCATATCATCTGTGAAGAGCAATAGTTTTACCTCTTCTTTTCTCATTTGGATACCCTTGACTTTCTTCTCTGGCCTGATTGTTCTAGCTAGGACTTCTAGCCTTATGTTGAATAGAAGTGGTGACAGTGGGCAACCTTATCTGACTCCAGTTCTGAGCTGAAATGCCCACAGTTTTGCCCCATTCAGTATAATGTTGGCTGTGGGTTTGTCTTATATGGATTTGATAATTTTGAGGTATGTTTCATCTATGCCTTTTTTTTTAAGCGTTCTTATCATAAGAGGGTACCGAATTTTGTCAAATGCTTTTTTCCAAATCTTTTATGAGGATTACATGGTCTTTATTTTGCTTCTATTTATGGGATGAATTGCATTTATAGATTTGTGTATGTTGAACCATCCTTGCGTCTCTAGGATGAAGCCTACCTGGTTGTTCTGCACAGCCAACAAAACAATCAGTAGAGTGAAAAGATAACCTACAGAATGGGAGAAAATATATGCATGCTGTACATCTGATAAAGGTCTGATAATCAGAATCTACAAAGAACTCAAGCAGATTATCAAGAAAAAATCAAACAACCATTAAAAAGTGAGCAAAACACATGAACAGAAACTTAAAAAAAAATAGACTAATGGCCAACAAACATATGAAAAAATTCTCAATGTTTCTAATCATTAGGGAAATCCAAATCAAAACCACAATGAGATATCACCTAACTCCAGTGAGAACAGCGTTTATCAAAAAGTCCCAAAACAGTAAGTGTTCCTATGCAGGGACAGGAACACTTATACACTATTGGTTGGACTGCACACTAGTACAGTCTATATGGAAAGAACTATGGCAATACCTTAAAGAACTATAAGTAGACTCACCATTTGATCCAGCAATCCCACTACCAGGTATTTACCCAAAGGAAAAAAAGACATTTTATTGAAAGGACTTCTGCACTCAAATGTTTATAGCAGCGCAGTTCACAGTTGCAAAGATGTGAAAACAACCCAAGTGACCACCAATACATAAATGGATTAATAAAATGTGATCTACATGTTATGGAGTACTACTCAGCCTTTAAAAACAAAACAGTGAGCTAATAACAACTTAAGTGGAACTGGAAACCATTCTCCTAAGTGAAGCATGACATGAATGGAAAACAAACACCACAGGTCCTCACTATTAAATTGGAACTAATCAATCAACACTTACATGCACATATGGAAAAACACTCATTAGAAATCAAGTAGGTGAGGGGGGAGAGGGGATGGGTAAATTCATACCTAACGGGGTACAGTGCACACCATCTGAGTGATGGGCACACTTGCAACTTTGACTCAAACTATGCAAAAGCAATTTATAAAGCCAAAATGTTTGCACCCCTAGGATATTCTGAAATAAAAAATAAAATGTGGGGCAGCGCCTGTGGCTCAAAGGAGTAGGGCGCTGGCCCCATATGTCGGCAGTGGCGAGTTCAAACCCAGCCCCAAAAACTGCAAAAAAAAAAAAAAAATGTATTTTAAAAATTGTGCAAAGCAAAATTTAAGTTGACTTTACTGGTAAGTAATTAAAAAATTATAATGCAGATTACAAGTACACAATTTGATTTGAAAAATGAAACGTAAGACTTCAGAGGAATTCTGCATTCCAACCGCAGTTCTACCTAGACTTCAGGAATAATGGTTCACTCTTTCCCTGTTCTCAGGGACCCTCTATTAGAAAAATGCTGCTGGTTTTGTTTCTTGACTATTAGTCTGTGTCCTCATCAAGAGTCTATGCTTCATGCAAACAGGCATTGTATCTTATAGCATTTTGTTTCTTGAGTTTTACATCAGGTCACATGTAAAAACGTGGCATGGGGAGATTTGCCTGTCCTTTTTTCTCATGGAATTTCCTTTATTTGAGAAAAGCCACAAAGAAGTTACAATGTTTGTGGAGAGAAGCAACCAGCAGCCCTTCCTTTCTCTCCTTTGCCATATTCTGTCTCATTTGGGAGGGGTGTGGAGGGTCTGAACTCACTTGAGCTGCTCTCTGGAGAGTGCACCCTATGGGGTTCCCTCCTTCCCTCCATCTACCCCCTTCCATGCAGGCCAGGGCACCCCCTACAGTGTTCCCTCCACCTACCCCCTTCTGTACAGGACAGAGCTCTGCTGACACCCAGGCTACTGGGCTTGGACAGCTGTGCCTCTCTGACCACTGTTAAGTGAAGGTTCCTGTTCTCAGGTGCCTGTTCTCTCGTGGCCATTCAGCAGGTTTATCGGACAAGTGTGTTCTTGATGGTCATTGGGCCCCAAGGCCCTGTACCCAGGCACTCAGCCACAGTCTCTGCAGTGTTATTCCCTATGAAGCCAAAGTGCCTTGAATCTGGCCGGCTTCAGCATTTGTTCCACCAGCATTTACTCATTTGTTCTTTCAGCGAGTGTTCATGAAGCACCTACTGTGTGCCAGACATTTGAAGGGCTGCATTGAACACAGGGGGAGGACACAGCATTGAACCAAAGACTCAGTACCTCTCGTTGAGGAGGTTATCTGTTGGGGAGAGAAGGGAAATAAGCAATAAAGTAATGTAATGAACCAGATGGTGTTATGTGGGTGAAGTAGGGCTGGGGCTGGGGTTCAGTTCTACAGAGAAGGCCTGGCTCCCAAGGTGCTGGTGGAAGGAGGCACAGGGACAGGCTGTACAGAGTTTGGGAGGGGAGAGCAGGGCAGTGGGCAAAGGTGGCATGAGGCTGGAGGAGGCTGGAGGAGGCCCCGGGGGAGGCCAGGCCACGGGGCAAAGGAGCATGGAGGCCCCTGTCCAGCCACATGTTTCTCCATTTCTAGGCCTGTGGTAGCAGCAATTTCTTGATGACGTTCCCTGCCAAGGTTCAAATCTCCTTGACAGCAAGTGGGGGCCGGGGGTCCCATTATTGGCAACACTGGAGAACTCCCCAGTGTCTGGGACGCGTCGTTTCTGTTGCAGAACAAATGGCTTTCCCTACCACTTTCTCAGCACCTGGGCCCGCTCCCCGGGTGGAATGTCTACCAGCCTCTCTGTACCTCTCCCTCTCCAGAGAGAATTTTCATTGTTAAAGAGAGAATTAACTTTGAGGCCTTACCATCTGTTCACATACTTTCCTAAGACTTACAGAGAACTTTGGTCTTAGCAAACGAGCAGGCTACATTTGTTCTCACATCCTGCTCTGATCAATCTTAGGTCTTTCCGGGTTTATTTTATTTGTTTTTAATTTGTACAGGTATTCCACTGGTGGAAACAATCCTTTTATTAGTTTTTGTTAGTTGACATGGTCTGTTTTGAATTTACTTCCACAAAGTCAAGATAACAACCACAAACAAGTGATGTGTGTTCTGTTACTAGAGATAGACTGGCCGGTCTGTCCAGGGATTTTAAGGAATTAAAGGACCCTTCGAACCCCAGCCTTTTGCAGCCCCTGCTTTTCCCTGGTCGGCAGGTCTTCCAGGGGCCTGCACTCACCTCTTTATACTGGCTCCTCAGCACGCTTTTGGTGGTGGGCTCGGGATGACGTAGCTGAACC